AGGGCCCGTGCAACGTGCGTTCTGCTCGGAGCTACAGCCTAAACCTAGGTGCAAGGTATGTGTGCCTATATACTTCTTTCGTCTATTTACATCCTTCGGCGCTCCGTGGTTTCAACACGTCACCTAGTTTGCGACTGGCGAAGAAGCAAGCGCTAGTTTTCACGGTTTGTGTAGTTGAATTCTTTCGCGCATCTGTGCGAATTCTGTCTTTCCAGTATGTATTCGAGGGACGCGCATGCACCGTTGGAGTTAGCCCGACACCACCGCCTTGGGAGGTGCTTGCGCGCCGAGGATGAACCACCTGCAGCGATGTTCAAGCGCCAGCTTGTGTCTAATAATAAAAAAAGAAAAGTTTTATTCCTGTGAGCTTGAGGAGCATTAGCGCGTTTTTGCACTTATTGCACACGTTCGATCGCAACTGAAAGTGGCTAACGGCTGCAAGGACCAGAAGTGTTCGCTTGAGCGCGTTATAATCTTATGTACCACTGAATACAATGAGAGTACCTGATGCAGATGTTCCGTAAGCACTTTTTGTTTCGCCTTTTTATGTGTTCGTAGTAATACCTGCGCTATAAGCCGATGATGATCGTCACTTCTCTCAGGAACTAAATAATGTGGACGATACAGCGGCAAATTCGTATAATTATGCATCAACGAGAAATGGTTTTTCTTTGTCTAGTACTGTGGCTAAAACTGCATCTTTTTCACAATTGTTTACTCTGAATCTCGATCACTATCCGGTATAAAAGGCAGACGTTGGTATCTGGTTAAGGTCGGCACTTCTACACTCATTCGCGAAGAGAAATAGAAATTGACCTTAGATTGTGAATGCAAACGGAACCGTAGATACGTCGCCGAAAAAAGACCAAGATGGGAAAGACAGAGTGTATTTTGAGAAACATTGCACCAAGAGCAATCATGCGCGTGGGGAGACTGAAATACTTAAAAGAAAAGCTACTGCTTATGAAACCAGCAGATATCACTTCGTCAAAATTTACAAACTGGAGTTAAGTGGAGCACTGTCGACATGTGCAAGCATTTAAAACGCAGTAGGTTTAGGACGACTTTAGGAGACGTTTCAAGTGCTTGCAAGTTCGTATGCAAGTTACTGCATGCAACTGTCTAATTGACATAATTCACTGACTGCTCATAGCTTCAATCGTCTTTGGTTCACAGGCCTGGTCTGAAGGGTCAACAGACACCTTCTGGCGTAGACGGGTCAACTTCAAGCATATTTGGTCACGGATGTCACTGCGATTTTCACATTGCTATGCGAGGTATGTACTCAATATCTTACAAATTTTTTAATTAGTCAACGTTTTTACCATTTCTGGTTACACGTGCATTTCATATGTAAAGACCGACCAGATCCTAAATTATGTCTTCTAAACTAATACCTCGAATCAGATGTCCAGGCCAACTCTCCCCATGCACACAAGCCACAGTTGCTTGACCTCGTTGTGAAGAAAGCCTTTATGGAAGTCGAAAAGTCGTCTTTTTTATCTTTTATTTTGTCATGTATTTTCTGCCCTTGAACAGTGTGGAGGCTTCTACTGTGAACTGCATAATCAGATGTTTTTGATAAACATTGCAAAGCGGCCCCTGGAAGTTTGGTTGTGATGAATTATTTATATAGGTATGTCGTCTTATTAAAATTTTTCTCCCGAGTCAAACTGAGTTTTACTCGTGAATTTCCAGCATGCAGGTTAAGAGAGCCATGAAAGAATGCCAGCAACACCTCATTTTGCTGTCATAGGTTAGTATTTCATATAGAAACTTTTTGCTCAAAACATGACGTGTATGGGTAACTTGTTAGCAAGGTAAAAGTTCCTGGTGAGATAAAGATGGAAAATTCGAGAACGTTGAGTTTCACTGGAGCAAACGCTCTGACAAGTAACTTTGTCTTCTTCAATGCTGCATCCTTCAGGAAGACAAGTACGCTTGTGGAAAGGCCGTCTCTAGCGACATTGCATGATGATGAATTTTCCAACTGAAATATTGTTTTTCTATAGCTTGACTTTATCCGCAAACTGTATTATATGCAGGTGGTGAGAATGGCTTTAGAAATTCCCAACTTGCTTCGCCAATGTATTGCAGCTGGCACGCACTTAAAATTTAAGAATGAGGCTTCCTAAAAATGCCCAAGTTCAGTGTTTTTCCACTTATATGGACAATTACGTTCACCAGTCACTTTAGGTATAAAAGCTCAGCCAGACTGTTTTCTATGAAATACGCTCACCTTTGTATTGTGCCATTTAAGGCATGAGTGACTTGTCTCATAACATTGTGCCTATGCCAGCAAACTTGGACTACATTCTGCATTCTTATTTCCTTTTCCAATATATATCTTTTTCAAATAGCATATAATATTTTGTTGCCGCTCAACGTTTATTATATATCTCATGCAATATCTGTTTGTAAAGCTATTTCAAATGACAGCTGGTATGTGTTTGTTTAGGGATAACACATGAGTCATTCTAAACCAAGTGTTTCAACCATTTCGGTGGCCATGTCAAATGTATGGGGTCAAGTCTTATCAAGCATACCCGGTCAAGTGTTGAACATCTCCGATCATGCTAATAAATTGTGCAGGTATAGGTAAATGTGAGGAGTAGTTATTGTGCCATTATATTTTGAAAAAACATTTGTGTTGCCTAGATGGCACTTCAAACTCTAGGCAACCAAGTGAAACCTTGTCGCACTAAATATTTCATATATTATTGCTGGTTTGATCAATTAAAATGATACAGTATTTTCGTTAATGTCAAGGTGCTACTCTTTCAAGACTTTTATAGATGGCTCATTTTATCGTTATTTTTCCTTGCTAAAAGTTATAATAAGCGGCATGTTTATCATTATTTATAAAAAGCACAACTTTTTTCGCAATATTATATTATATTAACGTTTTCTGTTTTATATGTCCCTGTATTTTCAGCATATGATAAAAACCATTACAATTGCTGCACAAGATTTCTGTCTGGTGTCCTTTAATTTTATAATGCATTGTCTGTATCGCACAAGTTTGTGCAGTTGGTGCATTCTTTGGCGTTTCACTTCTGAAGCCCAAGTACGTGATTAGTACAGTTTATGGAGCATGAATTTATTTTGTCATTCTATTTTTGTTCCTAGGTTCAAGGGGCAGATCATACCGACCAAGCGCTGTTGCAAACCGGAGTAGGTCGAAGGTTGCTCCGCCTTCACAAAATACTTAGAAGAATGATTGTGCAAGTATTCACAAAAGCTTTCCTTGCATATTTCATGCAATGCTACCCATGTCAAATGACAGTGGCATGGCGACGTAGACTACACTACAATTCATAATGACACAAAATACACTTGTTTCATGAGCCATAACGACGATGCATTGAGAGCCTGCTGTCACCTCACAAAAAATGCTACATCGATGGTCCTATAATTGTTTTAATTGACAAGCAGACGTTAAAATACCTTAATTAGTAAATACTTTCATCTAGAATTGACAACTTGTTGTAATTTTGACGGTCAAGGGTGGTCAATCGAACAGCTCAGTTGTGTATGAAGTTCACAAAATAAAACGTCAGTATGATGAAAGAACACCGTCATTTGCAAAGACGACCTTTATTTATTGAAAAGCAATTGTTATCAAATTGACAGTTTGCTTGTATTTTGAAATGACGGGAAACACATCAAAATGATAAAATTGTGCCGTCATTTGAAATGGACGGCCTGTCGTCATTTTGGTGTAAATTTGATCAATTTGACTGTTTGCTTGTATTTTTAAATGACGGGAAACACATTGAAACGATAAAATTATGCTGTAGCTTGAAAATGACGGCCTGTCGTCAGTGTGATGGCTATGGGCTTGGAAATAGAGCAGTCGGTATAGGCACCGTCAATTTTACAAACTTGTTTTACAGTTTACGTATTACCAGGATTTTTTCTCGACTGACGTCACGGATGTCCTATTCTGCAGTTAGCTTGCGATGTGCGTACAGGATGTGCCGGTAACAACAACTGGAGACTTCAGCGTTAGTGTGCAGTGCCGTCCATTCAAGTTACGAACATGGTGCAGCACAGCTGCGCTCCGTGGGGCGCCAGCGCACACAGTGCGGCCGCGCATCGAACCTTATCGACAGAAGCTCAAAGTTTTGCCTGGTCTATTGTGACGTGACGCAGCGCTGCTCTGGCTTTGCCGTGAGGCACGCCTAACACTGAGCGAGCCAGCAGCGATTGACCGCACCGCAAGCAGTTGCGATAAAGCGGGTGTCGCTCACTGCAGTGTAATGTGAGTTGCTTGCAACGTGATGTGCATCATTTACTCCAGCGCATTCCTTACGGCAGCTTTAGCACTAAAGAAAGTGTATCCAACATGTGGAGCACGGGCTGAATGGCTGTTTGAATGACAGCGCGCAGCTTCTTTAAGGATAAAGTGTTTATGATGTTGCTGAATAGCACTCCACACTTACTTGCCTATCGCGTTTAATAACGCTTCGTTCGTGTAAGCAAGAAAAACGAGACTAACCTTGAGCAGTTTTTTTTATATGGCAGTGCATGCAGTCACTATGCATTGATAGTGTACGGCGGAATGAAGAAATCTTGTATATTATTGGAATCTGCGTTCCAGACTAGTCACTACGGAGGTCTGTGTGTTTCTCGAATCCTGACGTCAAGTCCACCTCAGAATTGATCCACTTCTGAGATATGACAAATGTCTTTTTACAGATTGTAGCGTTAAGTTTCATTTTGTTTCGACTCATTCATCGCCGCCCCAGCCTTTGCAGGACGAAAAAATTTCTTGATGTCGGAATGCTAGCTGCGGTGAGCTTGACACCTGCGGCCTATGTCTGTTTTCACTGACACGATTCTGTTGCTCTAGTGTATTTTTGCAAAAATTTAGGCATTGCAGTACTTTACCGGATTTAGAACCACAAACCCACCAGACATATATGAGATGTTGTAGAAGATGGACGAAGAAGCAAAAGCGCTGGCACCGAGAAGAGACGAGAAGACGCAAACACGGCGCTTACCAACAATCAAGTTTTATTGTGTTTACACGTCAATACATACATAGAAAATACAATCCGTGAAAGCATCAATGAGCAGCTATCGCTGAAACATGCTGAATCGTGTTTTTGAGAGACACTTCAACTCATTTTATTGAAGCAATCGTGAAGCCATTCTGACACAACGCTCTCCGCTTCTCTTGATACAAAAAGCCTCGAAAGTGTCCCGTTGACGTTTTTCTGCACAAGTGCCTAGAATCTGCAAACATGTAAATATTGGTTCACAATCACATTTTTCGCAATGATCTGCAAAGTGGCTACTCACTCACAATTTTAGCGAGTATGCATGTTCTCGTAACCTATCATTAATGAATCAACATATTTGCACAGCGCAAGCGTACGAGTAGTTACGACGTAACTACAGAAGAGTCAAGGACAGAAAGAGCACTGTAAAAATTTCAGCTGAAGTCAGTGTTGTTTCTGTCCTTGTCTCTTCTGTAGGTACGTCGTAGCTACTCGTAGTCTCGCGCTGTGCAAATATGTTGATTCCCAATCACCAACTAGCCCAAGCATCTGTCCTATCATTTATTCATCTGCCTGTTTGGCCAATTCCTGTTTGGCAATATCTTACAGAAGTGAGGGGAATCAAATAAACAAAGTTTCCTCGGCACTTTTCGCAACTCTGTGAAGAAAAATGCTCAATAAAACTGAAACTGAAACTAAAATAAGCACGTACTTTTTTTTTACAACGGTTCTCTGTCTGATCATCATTAGTCTTTTTGTAGAGACTACAAAGTTTATGACGTCAAGAGTCTAACAAAATCCCGTCTGGCCGGGGACAAACAGAGTGCAAAGTAACAAAAAAAATACAACCAAGGTGAAATACACAAAAGTTAAAGACGTTTCGGTAAAATACACAAACGTTAAAAAGACTGTGAACAAGGTTCCCAGTGAGTGGAGCCGAAACGTCTTTTTAATTTTTGTGTATTTCACCTTGGTCGGCGTTTTTGTTACTTTGCACAAAGCTTATGACATGCGTTCAAGTCGTCAGTGTGTACGATCTAGCCCAATTAAGCCCACTACTATAATTGTAGAAGTTGTATCTGTTAATTTGACTAATGTGCTGCATATGCGGTGGCACATACGGTAATACGCATTTCGATCCCCAATTGTTATTCAACGTTACAAAGCCTTTATAACGTTCTACTGAATATTGTACCAGAGAGAGCATTATGCGCAAATTGAATTCCTATATTGTGCGGTTATCGAAGTCTAATAAATTACGACAAGTAAAAACGTCTCGTACCTCAAGTGCACAAAATCAAAGCGATCATTTGTATTCTGGCTTAATGATGGACATAGCTAGGAAAACAATTCGAGCCTCGTCGCAACATTGTTTGCAGTAATGAGAACGCAAATTCCGTGATAGAACCAACCACCGTAGCTCTTGAGTGGCCTTACAAATCTTTCAAAAGGGGTTACAAAATTTTGCATAATGTGCAAAGTAGGTGTGCAACCTCACCCGTTCAGCCTAGTGTAGAATTAATTCCCCTCGAATTGTACGATGCTAATTGGTGGATATGATAGACGGCAGGATGTTGTATCAGTTGTCTGGATTACTAAACATGCAAAGTTGCTGAACAACACTGGATTTTCTACGCGAGATATACAACCAGGCCTTTTGTTTACGTATAATAAAAATTGGCATATTCCACGTACAATGGGAACCGCTGGTATGCGAAGCACGAATGAGGAAGGTGGCCACTTTAAAATCAGCGCAACGTTATGACGCGGAGGTCAATCAAGCCGTACATGCCGCCCTTGTCATATTTATTATGTTGGACGTGTAATTTACCTTCGCCATCTATTCTCGTCACCTGATACCAAATTAAGTATACGTGGAGCTTAGCGAAACGGCCGCGAGCGTGCGATGAACGTAGCAATTAGTCAAGATTTACATGACACTCATGTCATGAATATAATATTTGGACGTTTCATTCACTTTCGTCGTCTATTCACAAAGCGTAATACTAACTTTGGTATATGTTGAGCAAGCGAAACGGCCGCCACCATGTCATACGCGTATCATGTAGTCCTGCTGTTACATGAGAAGCATCTCATGATTCTCATGTTTGCACCAAGCACATACATTTGTCATTCATTCACGTGCCGTAATACCATACTTGGTATAGGTGAAGCCAGCGAAACGGCCACGAGTGCACAATGAGCGTGGCATGTAGTCATGTTGTTACATGACACGCCCATTATGATTATCATGTTCGCACAACTCACATACCTTCGTCATACATTGAAACCACGAAACACCAGTTTAGGTATGGGACAGCTTGTGAAATGGCTGTGAGCTTATCATGAAGGCCGCGTCTCTCATAATCGTATGGTGGTTTTGGGACGTTAAACCCCACAAATCTATCATGAAGTGCCCAACACACTCTGACGCAGCGTTGACCCGAGCGCACGCTGGGCGCAGGGACGCTATGCTAGTAAAGCGTGAGCACTCTATTTTGTGACGCCAGGCATGACCGGCGCATCCAGCGTTCGTTGGCGCGGCCGGCGGCAACCGGCGCGCAATGCGACATATTGCGTTTCGCGCCAACCGACTGCACTGCTTGTGCCTCTCTCCATCACGGAGGGACACCGGGCGCGCTCAAACGCGCATGCCCCAAAGCAACGCAGCGCGCCACGCGCCTGCGAGTATTTGGCAGGTAGATTGGCACCTGGCGTGGCATCGCCGGCGTGACGCGACCAAACGAAAACCGCGCCGGGTCACGTCGAAGTATATTGGCGCCTTCAGTGTGGCAGGTGGTCATGTTCTTACATGACATGCATCCCATGATTATCTTGTTTGCACCAGCTGCGTACCTTCATCATCCATTCACGTGACGAAATACGAAATTTGGCATAAGCTAGCTAAACGGCACCGAGCGCGTCATAAGTGTAAAATGTAGTCATGTTGTTGCTTAACACGCATGTCATAATTTTCATGTTAGGGTCTGCCGCTTGTGTTCGCCATACAGTCATGTCATGCCATACCCAATTTGATATATGTCTTGCGAACAAGACCACTCCAAGAGAAGCAAGACTTCGAAATGTATATCATGACAATAATGACATATTTGCCATGTTTTTCATGCTATGACTAATCAGTAACGCTTCCCATACAGTCATGTTATGTCATACCAAGTTTGGTATCGATACCATTATCGAAACGGTCATGAGAGCTCAAAGTTGTAGGCGGATAGATAGATAGATAGATAGATAAATAAATAGATAGATAAATCGATAGATGGATGGATAGAAAGATAGATAGACAGATGAATAAATAGATAGATAGATAGATAGATAGATAGATAGATAGACAGATAGATAGATAGATAAATAGATAGATAAATAATAGATAGATAAGAGATAGATAGATAGATAGATAGATAGATAGATAGATAGATAGATAGATAGATAGATAGATAGATAGATACGCTCAAAGTCGCTGAAGTTCACTAAGAAATATTTAAAAAACAAATTCAAGACCTGGTAACACAAAAACATTGTCGTGGGGTCATTACAAAGTCTCATTGTTATTGTAACTTGAATACAGAGAAGTATGTTTTAGAGCAGGAAAGAGCAAACGCAGCGGGCTGCAACAGGAGGCAACACCACTCGCTACTTATAACAAACAAGTAATGATTTGCCAACGGGGAATTTTCATGCAACATACGAAGACAGGGGAATCGTCTTGCATGCGTGAAGCCCGTTTCTTAGCTGACTATCTCAAAAGATTTGACTAAGCTTAATATCTTCGTAGAAAGACTATTAACCAACACCGATATCAATGTTGAGTGGCCTAAACTCAGCCGGTTTGACTAAACTTTCACGGACATGAGAGTCAAGTAGGCCTAAGAATGTGACCTTGTGCTAGAGATTGAAACGTGGTCGAAATTGTCCGCAGCTGTCTTCTACTACGTGTCTCATGTATGCAAGACTGTTTGACAGTTTTCATTTCTATAAACCACAATAGAACCCAGCAGTATTCAAAGATACAATTCATCAACAATGGTTGTGGCATGGAGAGGAGCAACCAGTTGCGTAGTTCGTAGGAAACTGCTCAAAAATGCAGCAAATGAAGTGCGCTTTCCAGCAACTCTGTTGCATGGCACTCAATCGCTTTTGGCATACTGAGAGATCTCATACTCACGATCTTGATTATCATGCTTATGTCACAACCTGAGAACATACCTCCTCTTTTTTACTTTGATGGAATAAGTGACTGTTCTTTCGTTCACGTATCATTCCAGTAAAAACCTCAACGTCCCCTGAAGGCTGAAAAACTTGCTTCACTTTATGAAAAAGGAGAATATCAAAGCATGAACAGGGAGCTTCATGAGTTCTGAAATTTTTTATCAGTTGACTTCCACCAAGGTCTGTTTGAACAAATTGGTCCCTTTTTCAAACAGAAATGCACAGGCATATCAAGAAGTACATTCTCACAGTTTCTAGTAAAGACTCGTTCAACATCGCCCTGGTTTGACCGTGAGCTAAAAAGGCTAAAAAATAAAAATTGGACATTTCAAGCTAAGCAACAACTTCCAAGGACTCGCGCGCATGCGTAAAATATCGCAATACAGATAGGGCATACTGCCCTATTCTAGACCAGACCAAGCAACTTTTTTTTAGTTTCACTCGGCCCCAACTTTCGCATAAAAATCCTAATAAATTTTGTAAGATTATCAATCTAAAACATCACAAATCATCCTGTATATTTCAAAGAGAACACTGGTAATGCCGTTTCCAAGGCCGTGGTGGCGAACACTCTAAAATCCACGTTTTGCTCTGTTTGCACTAAAGAAATTGATAATCACTTTCCTCGATTTCCGCTCCCAAATCACCTGTTCATGCCTGAAGTCACTGTTTCACCCGAAGGTATTGTCAAAATAATTTACTCTCTGAAGGAAATTTAATCTCCCGAACCCGATGGTATCGAATCCAAAGTGTTATAAAATGCGAAGTGCAGAACCAGGGTTATTCTGTCTCATAATATTTTACAGTCCATGCCACGCAATATCCCGCCACAAGATAGGAAACTGGGTAAGATTGTTACAGTCCCTAAAGAAAGCCCCAAGCGCTGCCGCCAGATCAATTTAACCAGTGTCCGCTCGAAAATAATCGAATGTGTGATTTAATAATTTATTTATTATTGATGTATTTACAGATACAGCTGTCTCATGTTTGAGACATTGCAGGAGT